AACTATGTGCTGCAGGCGGCATATCATGGATGTTGCTAAACATGTTCTGATACCTCACAGTCATTCTCATTATCCTTCTGAGATTCTTCTGACAAACACATGCAGTGGCTTGACATATAAGTTGGGGTCATCTAATTATTGATGAATAGTACATTATATCTGGGAAAATGAATTCAGTTAATTTTAAGTGCCATTTTCTGCAGCTAGGGTATTTGTCAGCCGTGGAATACTAGAGAAAATATCAATTTGCAGTGCATCACTAATGGAGCACTTTTTTATAAACAGAGAAAAGAAAGAAATGACACCACTTTCTCTTACTGTGGTGTCACTAACAGTTCTGTGACTTGCTAACAAAGGGTCATTAAAAGTTTCTAAACCTATCCGCAGAGGACTGATACGGTATTGAATAAGTTTTCTCACTCACTTTACTAAGATTTAATCAGATGGTAAACTTTCAGCGACATGTGTTTTGTTAAATTCACACAAAAGACATGTGGAATTAGATGCCACATCCACATGGGCTTTTGAAAGGTGTCTTTCCACCCTTTATTCTGTTGTATTATTTTTCACATTAGGGGGTCTCTTCCAAATAACAATTATTTTTCAAAGGGAAAAATGGTTTTGTGTGATGTGTGATCTAACAATAATTTACACTCACAACTTACACATACACTGTCTTTCAGATGATTCAGCTACTGGACAATTGTAAAATATGTTTATGTGTTTATAAAGACATTATATACAAAAAAATACATAAAACTACACACAAAATATCTGGAAAAGAAGAAGTAGAATGTGCAAAAACTTACACTTGTACTTTAGGCTCTGACTGATTAAATCTTTTTCAAGAAACACCTTTAAGCAACAGATAACAACTCAGAATTTTAGGTGATGATTCCTGCTGTTTAAGGACACCTTTGACAGTGAGAGTTGGGTGATGAGGAGAGCATGACCCAAGAGTTGCACGGTGTGACTGGTTTCAACATATGTGTGGCAGTCATTGAACACATCATGAAAACACTTTATCCACTCTTGTCCTTTCTTCACGACAGTAACACAGCTGCTGCATCAGTCGCCATTGCTGCCCATTTTGCACTTTGCCTTCTGTTTTCCCAGTTTTTACTGGGAGACATTATGAATGACCACTAAAGAAATGTTGTAACTCATCTGAAAATACAGTATATTTTAAATAGTATGCAATCAAACCTTGAAGTTAAATTACTTTGATATACAGGAAGGACTGGGTTTCCTTCTTGAAACACTCTTTAGCATTTTTAGGTGTGCTGAAACGCATAAAAATGATTTATGCCAATTTTTAAACCATCTTCAGTTGAAAACATACTTTTCAAGAAATCAGTCAGCATTCAAGAGATCATATGAATTCTTACATACTTTGAGAAACAAGACCCATGTCTAATTGTAAATCTCACTTAGAGAGCTAATGATGCACATCTCACCTGGAAGATACCTTTGAAGTATCTTGTGGCTATGGCTGTCTTGTCTTTCAGATCAGTGTGTGGATAAATCCAAAGTTGAAGAGAGTGAGCAGAAGGCTGCAGAGTACTCGAAAAAGGTGAGACATTAATCACTCCAACATCCCCCTTGGTTGGCCGGCTCCCATCAGGAAAGTTTTTTCTTCCTCAGAGCTCCCAGACAAGCTATTGATTTCCATGCCCTGATCAATACCTGGCTGTGACGCTACATGATCCGTATCAGCATTACAAGAATCAGTGCCGATGTTCTGATGTATACTTATTTGTGCACAGTGCCGGGGCAGAGTTAAGTTATGTGCAAGCTCTTTTGATACAGTTCTGCATTTTAAACTGGCCCTTTAAGGGGTTTTCTCTTTCTCTTTTCCTTTTCATGTAATTAAATTGATTATTATTTCTGTAATTGATTAATTTATATAATAATATTTTTAATATATTCAGAGAAATAAAATTACCTCATGAAAAAAATCTTACCTCCAGCATATTATGTATAGTATTTAGATATGTATTAAGATGCCCCACTGCCACTGTTGGGGGACACCAAGGGGTTCCTGGGTATGTTTTTTCTTAAGAGTTCTGTCCCACCAGCCGACCGTGTACCCTGCTGGGACAGTGAAATCATTGTAGCGACATGGCTTGGTTTCTGCAAAGGTTAGATCCATCAACATACATGAAAGCTAGGCCCGAAACTAAGACAAAGGACAACAGGGCTCAAGGGCCATGGGAGCTATGAATAGCAATCAGCCAGAGAGTGTAAGACAGTGTGTTTTGGTGTCTGGTGATGTGCCCCGTGGCCATTCTCGGAGACACTGTGCCGCTCACCAACGTGTGTTTGTGTGTGTTTATATCTGTGTACACGTGTTTTTATGTGCACATAGACATTTTGTATCTCTTTTCTTGCAGTTTGATGAGGAGTTCAGTGCGCGGCAGGAGGCCCAGGCCGAGTGTCAAAAGAAGGAAGAGAAAATCAAAGAGCTGGAGGGAAAGATTCAGGCCCTGGAGTCCCAGGTAATCCATAAAGTGAAATCCCGCTACTCTGCAAAACAGTGTTCCATTCCCCCAGAGATCTTTTATTTTGTATGTTTTCCAAAAAAACAAAAAGAAGATAAAACAAATCTAATATCCAGAAGCCCTTCTAATCAGTTTTCTAACTAAAAAACATCTCAAAACTATATAAAAATGTTTGTCTTAAGATCATAGCGCCACTAGAAAAAGGGCTGATTTGGTCAGAAGGATACCTTTCCACCCCACTTACAGATGTGCTGCTGCTGTAAGTGCGAGTTATCATCCATGCAAGAACATTTGATTTAATAAAGGGTCAATCTCCTTCTTAAGTTGTAGCTCTTTTTATGGGCAAATTGCTCTATTGAAGCTTTTCCTATGTAATTCTATCATCACAGAGATGGATTGCACTCCTTTTCCTGGCCTCTACATCATTTCTTCCCAGGCAAACCCCTCCATTTTGAGCACAGAAAATTACTGCTATTTCCCCCTTAACCCAATTTCAAACACTTTAGTACTGCCTTGGGACAAAAGGGCAGGTTGCCTCCCTGCTTAGGGAATTTAATATAAACCTGCATTGAAAGATGGTATAGCTACATTTATATCACAGATCGCTCTTCTTTCAAACATTCATCTCGGTTGCCTATGTTGACACTCCCCGTCTGATAAACTGCACCTGCATATATGGTCCAAGCATAACTGGGAGTTTTCTCAGTTGGAACATACTTTTACTTCAGTCCTCTAGGTAGCATTCTTAGGTCCACAACAAATGCTGTTATGTAGCACAGGCTTTGGTTGTTGTCCTGGCCTAGGTCACACCGTGTTGTTCTTCTTAAAACTGGTCATGGTTGAGTGCTGGGTCACCACTTGTTACCTGCATTTGTCCCCAAACTGGTTCATCACTCTATTTATGATTACTGCCTGCTATTTAATGAGACCATCATCATCTAAAGCTCCTCTCCGCCTGCTCGCCCCTTTTTCTCCCTTGCTCTCTTCCACCTTCTCTCAGAAATGAATGCACCAGGCTGTTACCTTTGCTTGCCCTCTTTCCCTTTTTGGGCTTTTTATGTTGTGTATCCAAGTGTTTTCTTTCCTATAACACCACCCCCCTCCCCTGACAGGCCTCAGTCTTTTGAAGACTGACTGACTGGTGCATTAACAGGTAGTGTAGAGCAGAGAAGCCCTGGAGAGTCAAGCCCTCTCTTCCTCCGTTTGTCTGAATGCTTCTTCAAAGAGCGGTTACTGCTGAAGACTCGTACATCACCAGATATTAACCTCAGCAGGGAAACATGTTTGGCACAAACGTGCATGAATGTTTAGAATATCCCCTATATATACAGGGCTGGTCAGATAATTAGAATATCATCAAAAAGTTGATTTATTTCAGTAATTCCATTCAAAAAGTGAAACTTGGATATATTTCATTCATTACACACAGACTTATATGTTTCAAATGTTTATTTCATTTAATTATGATGATTAAAACTGTCAACTAATGAAAATCCCAAATTCAGTATCTCTGAAAATTAGAATATTACTTAAGACCAATACAAACAAAGGTTTTTAGAAATGTTGGCCTACTGAAAAGTATGAACATGAAAATATGAGCATGTACAGCACTCAATACTTAGTTGGGGCTCCTTTTGCCTGAATTACTGCAGCAATGCGGCGTGGCATAGAGTCAATCAGTCTGTGGCACTGCTCAGGTGTTATGAGAGCCCAGGTTGCTCTGATAGTGGCCTTCAGCTCTTCTGCATTGTTGGGTCTGGCGTATCGCATCTTCCTTTTCACAATACCCCATAGATTTTCTATAGGGTTAAGGTCAGGCGAGTTTGCTGGCCAATTAAGAACACGGATACCATGGTCCTTAAACCAGGTACTGGTAGCTTTGGCACTGTGTGCAGGTGCCAAGTCCTGTGGAAAATGAAATCTGCATCTCCATAAAGTTGGTCAGCAGCAGGAAGCATGAAGCGCTCTAAAACTTCCTGGTAG